TATATATATAGCAAATAATATAATAATAAAATAAGCAAATGGGTACCTAATTGATAATGATGGGAATCTTCTTTTCTTCGGTCAGAAATGCCTGGTAAATCGGCCAGCTTTGGGGGTGTATCCCGGAGAAGATTGGCCTCAACGGATGAATCACATCGCCGACGCGGTATAAAACCACATTTTTTTACGTTCCACTTACCTAATTTGGAGAAGGCGCGTTGCAGATCGCCCCATATGGATTGCGGCACCTCAACACCATGATGTGTGGAGCCTGTTCGAATGAAAATGCTTTCAAACACGCCTTTATGGCGTATCGGAGAAAGGTCAGAGGAGATGATAATTTCACTGAAGAAGAAAAACAGTCGTGTGTGTTGAATAAACCTCCAGGTAGGCGCTTGAAATCCATAGAATTTATTTTACTGCTTCCATTGCTCAGGATCGCCAAATTTGGCCATCATGTCCTTTCTACACGGCTTCCATGGGAGAACTATTGGCACTCTTTCGACCACCAGATCCAAATATATCCAAAAAATCGACATTCCTGCTTTCGATTGGCCCATGGCCAACTTTCCTCAGTACCTCTATCCTCTGGAGGAGCACGAGGAGTGCAACAGAGCCGAAGACTATCGCTGCTTAGCTTCTGTGGAGGAACTGTTTGAGAAATGGTGCAAAAAGGGCATACCAGTGGCTGGAGTAAGCGGCTTCGCAGGAGTAAATCTAAGACGTAATCCACGCTGCTTTCAAGGTGATTGTTGAACCGATTCAGTCGGAAGGAGGCGACAACCACGCATCCCCGACCTTCTTCCGAAAGCTTCAAGCCATTTGCAAGCGAAACAATGCCGCCCTGATCATGGATGAGGTTCAGACAGGCGGAGGGCCGACTGGCAAGTTTTGGTGTCACGAATATTTCGACATGGAATCACCTCCGGATATTGTCACCTTCAGCAAAAAGTTACAACTTGGTGGATACTTCTTTTCTGATGACATGAAGTAATGTACAGCGTCGGTGGCTGTTCACTGTCTAATGGTTGATTGCAGGGTTAATCAGCCATTCAGAACTTTCAACACATGGATGGGCGATCCAGGCAAAGTAATTCTCTTGGAGAAAATCATTGATATAATTGTGAGGGACCAACTGCTGCAGAATGTTCGTCTTACTGGAGACTATCTCTTGAAGCAGCTACAGTGCATGGAAAAGGAATTCAGTCCCATCATTCACTCCACTCGAGGACGCGGCACTTTCATTGCCATCACAGCGGAAACTCCTGAAAAGCGTGACGAAATGATCAAGCGATTGAAATCAAAAGGTACAGCTCTATCCAATAAAAAAGAAATAGTAACTTTAGCTCTCAATCATAATTTGTTAATGTTTCTAGGCGTTATTTGTGGTGGAGCTCATCCCCAAACTCTTCGTCTGCGGCCTACTTTGCTGTTCAGTAAAAACCATGCGGATATTTTTCTGGATAAACTTAACGAAGTGTTAAAAGATATAAAAAAAGCATAAATTCCTTCGATATATCAAAAACCTGATCAATATCGAACATTTTCTAATAGTGTTCCAGGCAATAACATTGCACTAAAGGGTCAATAAATGTCTTCCATCCTAGTTGTAAGGAAAAAATGTATTTACGCTATCAATAAACACATATTAAACAATTACAATCAATTATTTATATGCGTTCACCAATAATTGTTGTATCGGAAATAAAAATAACATATTAAAAATTAGTTTAATCCGAATGATTACCTGTACGATTTTTCATATGCGGTAGCCTTTTCACGATTAATGTGCATTCACATTCACTTGCAATAACTGCATTTGGGTGGCTCATGGCTCCGCAAAAAACTAAAACACTGATTAATTTTTGTGTGATTATAAGGGTAGAACACGAACAAAAAAGCAGACAACCAAGTGTAATAGTTTTCAAAGACTTTAATAATTGTACGGAATTCGTACCAACATCAATATTAATGTTTTATGTACAGCCTTGTTACATATTAAAATAGTTATTTTATGTCGTTGAAATTTCCATTGACAATTTTATCTATTACAAGGATGAAACATTTTATTACCGCCAAATTTAATATAAATTAATTAATACTGACGGTATGCAATTTTTTTGCGATTTTCTAATTTTTTTAAAGAAATTTTGTACAAATGGCATAATAAAATAGATCCATCCGAACGTTTATTTTAGAAAACAACAACAATCCTTACTGCAATCTGATACGCAAGATTGCAATAACAATTTTAAATTTTTCAAATAAATTAATGGAAAAAGTAACAAAACACTGAATGTAGTACGTAATATTACAAAAAAATGTCATAAATATAGTATTATGTACATAATAGCAGAATATATACAAAAACGTTCACAAAACGTTTGTGATGTTTGTTACGTCAATATTTCTACAGATTAGCCGCAAAATCTAAAACAAATATACAAGCTATAAAACAATATTTTTTACTAAGAACTAAGAAGTAGTCAAAAGGTTTTTGCAAGAAGTAAAGGTTTTTTGAGAAACCTTGCCCGCTCTGAATGTTTTATTTCATTTTTAAAATGTAATAAACGTTCTACATAGGGAAAAAATCTGAGCTTAGAATAAACATTTATTATTAAAAATCGAAATAAAACATCCATTTATTTAAATGTTTTCCTCGAGTCCTTTTACAATGAAATCAAAAAATGCACAAAGCAAATTAATAATCTTAGATCAATATTAATAGTACCTATTTTGCTCGAAATGAACAACAAACAAATATAGTGATTTTTTCAATATTTTCCCCACGATTGACTAGACAGATAAACTGTAAAATGTGTCTTAAAGCTGATAAGGGCATTCGAAAATTTGGCATGGCTTTTAATAACTCCAATTTACTGTTTAGAAAACAAAACTCTGATCTAAGTTATTATAATATGACAATTATATATAAAAAAACTAACTGATAAAATGCGAGATCACCCCTTAAATAATTTAATTTTGTACTTTTCCATTGTCGTGCAGCTGCTTGTATCTTCAGATACACATTTCTATGTACAGTTTGGATGAGATTTCTTTTTGATAGCCAGGACATGAGTTGCACGAAAATACTTAACAAAAAACGTATTTATCATTCTTACAAATAAAAATATATATATATCTACAATGACTGTACATATCTATACGTCTTACAAATTAGTGAAAAAATTTCAAAACCAATTGATCCCACATATTCTGAAGAATCTAAATCATAAATAATTTCAAGAACAAAAATAATAAATTAATTCACCGGGCAAATTCTGATCCTCAATCCATACTTACTTTTACCAATATAAATCTCCAAAAATAAAAACAATTATGTACACCACCTAACTAATACACTGTTAATCAATATTTTATACTAATATATTGATGATTGCACTCTTATGAAGAAATTCAAATGTACTAAGAGGAGCTGAACGGTTCGGCTCCTAAGTTGGGAGGAGGAGATGGATTTCGACTTCTATAACGTGAATCGTCATCTGGAATGAAACGACTCTCTTACACAATTTTTTAAGTAGTTTCTTAAAACTGGTTATTGTTTACCAATCATTAATTTACATCTGAATTTTTTTACGTAATTATTTTTCAAACAATTCATTGATTTACTTTGCACTTCGTCGTGGTGTTAATGAGTTAACCGAGGGGTGAGTTATGAAGCTTTGACCATTTTTCAGTAGTTCTTTAGGGTCGAAGCAGTAACAAATAACTGAAAGCTCTATCATTATTTGTGACAAACTATTGATAGTAGCCGATCTTGAAACGAATGTGAATGAAAGTATTGCTTCTTTCCCTACTGTGTATTCTTCTGCAATTTTAAGTAAGGTATAATTATAACTGGTTTATTTTTAATTATAACTGGTCGTCGAACGTTCTTTCAATGTTTACATAAAAATGGACGAGTTATTTGAACTTAACAGAAGAGGAAACTAGAGAGCTACATATTACTAAGCTGTAAAGGGTGTGTAAAAATTCTACTAGATATTACTGGGTTTACTACTTGTTTTCAGTTTCGCTTCTATGCTGATAGGGGATTTTAGCACTGCAATGCGAGCTACATTTTGCTATTCATTTTTTTAACCTCTAATAGTCAAATCATAGTATCACCTATACTTACCTATAGTCGAAGCAAAATTAAAATTACTGTTTGGATACACTGGGTTATTGAATGGTGGCACATACTTCGCATCAACAGGCTCTTCCAGCACGACAGCAGGCCGCTCATCATCGTCTGGATCATAAAACAAATTAGTCTTCTCCTCCCCTTCTTTACTGTCTTTCGTTTCGACGGTCTTATCCTCGCTCTCTTCTTGCATAACAACGTTTGGCTGGTCCTCCTGAACTGTTTCCACATTTTCTTCCCTCTGGACATAAACTTCCGGTTCTTGGCCAGTTTCTATTTCTTTTACGGGCGAAGGACTTTTTACTGGTTCCCTCATAGGAGGCAATACTGGCGTATAAGCTCGGTCTGGAGTTATGGTTGCCCGTAATGTGGGTGACATTGATAATTCGCTAAGCGACGCTAATGCTATGACATTAGTTGGTAACGGCGTTTGAGGAATAATTGTCGATTCAATCTCACAGTTGAGAATCGCAGTCATATCTATAACTAAACCATTAAATGGTATTATGAATATTGCCGATTCACGAGGAAACTCACCAGGTTTACGAGGTTCATCATCTAGCGCCAAGCCAAATGCTTTCTTCAATCGTAAATTCGACAATTCTCTTTGCCGCTCAAGTTCGGTGGGTTCACTGTTGAAAGCAGAAGCTGAAAATAACGATCCGGTAAATTTCAACTCTTTTAAAGGGATTGATAATTGCACGTACATTTCATGACAATATCTGACGCCGGCATATCTTCTAAACTAGAAAAAGAACTACTACTAGAACTTCTTGATCTAGGCTTCGACGACAGTTCGTTTTTAAATGATTCGGATGAATTGTTGTCGTCGTTCCCTTGAAAATCGTTTTCCATATCTTGCTCGTCCGACCTGTCGGTGTTGAGCTTCTTGCGTTGTCGATATTCGGTTATTGACAACTGAACAAAGAAAACTTTGAGGTGAAAGAATATATATAATAATATACTGAAAATAAATAAAATTTTATTTTGAACTTATAAGGAAAAATACGACAACTCTAAAACCTGTTGTAATTTATTTAAAGTAATATTATGTTGTTATTTCACTGACTATAAGTCCTGATATATATAATCTTTATTTCCTACAGAAAAASGCTATCGACTCAATCGGTCTTTCTGYCCTTRTTTAGTATGTACTAAATAAGGGCAGAAAGACCGACACATATGTATGTGTCTTAGCCTAGCTTATTCTAAAATTGATTCCTATTCCTAACACTTGTATAAATTAATCAGCTATAAAAAAAAGTAAAAAAATAAAAATTCTTGGCTTACAAAACAAACATATCTTAGTCCTTAGTTCAGTTGCGTTTGTAGGTG